TCACCAGAACAGAGAAGAAACTCTCAGCCTAGGGTCACCGTGTTAGGTGTCTACAAAGTCCCAAAGGGGCTGTGACCAACAGTTACCCTGCTCAAATATATCTTGATTGACTCCAGGTTATTTTGAAATGCACCATGTTTCTAAACGTTGGAAATCAAATTTGAAACGTTGGAAATCAAATCCTGACTCAGCCAGATACCTGAGGTTAAGTTATCAGTGTTCTCTGACAGTGGCCACATGCACTCTGGAATTGGGAACAGGATGGCGTTGCAGGGATTCCGCTCCACAGCTATATGGCTAAGCCCTCCATCATTTTAACTGCTGACCCAAACTTTTATGTTGATAAATCTTCATTGCATTAATCTGATCAATTTCCTTAAGTTGTAGACTTCTAAATACAAAGTTGCCTATCAAGTTACTTTTATCTCCCATATTTAATATGGCAACATTATAACTTCAATGCTATAATAATTCTCTTGATACCAAGGAATTGATGCCAGTGATAATACTATACTTCTGGTTCCCATCAACTTGGTTTTAGTTTGGTGATTTTAATTATATACTATATATCTGACTCCTCATTAGATAATCCTTAGGCTTAATAACTTTGTTACCCTCCCCCAACGGACCATTACCTCCTCTTGCTCTTCTTCATCATAGTCCTCCTGTTCTGCAGCATCATCGTCATCATCGTCATCGCCATCTTTACTTTTCTCTTTGCTTCCTTCTTTCTCTTCATTTTCCTCATCTGATTTTTCACCATCACCTCGCTTTTCCAATTCCTGTATAAGTAAGTTTCATTAATTTATATGGAAACCACTAGCCTTTGACCTTCCTGCCCAGCCTTAAAAGAATCTAGTTACCTATCACCTTATTCTAATCCCACCTTATCACCACCTCCAGGCCTCCCCTAGGAAACTATGAGTCAATCCCAGAAAGTAGGAATTCACTGTGTTATCATTACACTAGTATTTTCTTTGATTGTGTTACTTAATAACTGGGTCTCAAATAATACCGGGGTTATCAGCTCTAATGCACAATGTTTTATTTTTGTAATTTCTCTCCTACCTCCTTCTAAAATGTTTGAGGTGATTTAGTTTACAGACAACTTTCAGAATAATATTTTGTTTTCCTTCTAACATAAAAGGAGAAAAAAGAATGTAACGGTAACATTTCAAGATGTTTATGTTTTCATTTATAAGTAAGATCATTTAAAACTATTAATATCAAGTCATCCTGGAATAAATTATTATAGTTGCAGATTATCCATGTCTTTATGTATTTTCTCACTCATTATTTACTTTCCATTACCAGAAATTTTTGCTTCTTAATATATTTGGCAGGTTGGGAAGAAAGAAATTAAAATTCAAATCACAATCAACACTACTAGAAACTCTAAAAGAGGAGGCAAAGGAGAAATGCAGAGTTAGAAAAGCTTTGGTACCATGATGAGTCCACTTACCCACCCTGTTAAAATCATTATGACACCATCTCATAGTGTATGACTATATCTTTATATTTCTATTATGACTACCAATAATTTTTTTATTTGATAAAAAGTCATCTGTTTTCATTACTTCACTATCTGTTCACTAAATTTCACTATGCTCAATATTCATAAATGAATTTCACAAGTTTTCTAGGAGGTGGGTACAGTAATAATCTCATGTGTTAATACTCATAATTAAGGCATAAGATTAC